ATCGCAAGCATCTATTTACTATAACATTACGTTTTTATAAATATTAAGCTATTATGTGGCGTTGTAAAGCCTCATTTTTGAGATCGCTGAGATGGTGTTCAGCGTGCACGAGATGAATCCGTGCACGAGGTGCACAGACACGTTATCTGGTTCCATACATTAGACCGCGAAGGGCGATCAAGCCGCAAGCTATGGTACTGCGCCCGGTCACATACGATGGAAAATGTAGGGGTCCCTGCCAAAGTAACAAATGCTAGATTGCTTGATTTTTTATACTCAAAACGTCCTTCTCATAGCCTAGCCTCCTCGTACGCCCTCCGGGCCTCTTTGGGGCCTATCGGCCCCAAGCAGGTCATCTTAGTCATATCTGACTTAGCATTGTAGATATGAACTCACCGAACACTACCTTGGCTTAATGGCTGTTCCTCTACTGTGAATATAGACTATTTGACTGTCTTTACCCTTGTTGCCCTTACTTCGTGTCTTCATCCACCTTTACGTCGGACAGTACCCACTGTTATGTACAGAATTAGGATCATCATATGAAGGAACGATATTCTACTGTTTTGTTCAGAGGGTCTCAATGGCTTGTTGGTTGCATAGCTCTCAAGGCGATCAAGATGCCTATGGCCTCTGTAGTCCTCTGTCTTAACAACATTGTATTTTGAATAGCTGCTACGCGCAGTGCAAGGCGAGCACCAAATTTATTGCTACTGGGATGGTGTTCGGCAATCACTCGGATGCGTACATGATAATACTGTCTTTCCCACCCAAACCCAAGGTGCACACATAAGCCACTCACTATAACAAACCACGTAGCCCCTCGTTTTTTCCAAGACCAGTTGCTTCCCCAACACGCCATAGATGTGTAGTACGTACATGGATGAATTTGGACCTAACCCCACCGAGCGGCTATAGGAGAAACAAGACCCGAGCCCGAGAGGGTGGAGAAAGGGAGGGAGAATGTGGGGAAAGGGCACCCCACATTAGCGGAGAAAGGGTGTTGTCAGAACCTTGTCTATTACCACGTAGAGTTCCCCAATACGAGGGAAATATTAAAGGAAGAAGCATTCTGTTTTGTTGATAACTAGCGACCATCCGAAGGAGAAAAAAAAAGCAAGGATACATTGTAATCCGGCGATACCATAGTCTCTACTATCGCATACTTGGTTGTTTACCAATTACCTTGCGACTGCTACTTTTCCTTTACTATTACTACTAGACTAAGAAATAATGCCTCCCCCATCTCCTGCATACACGGATCCCACGTACCAATCAACCCACTACAACCTCTTCCGCGACTCCATCACTAAGCCTCTGAAGCGCGTGCTGCCACCTGGGATTTCGCGTTCGACATTCGATGCAGCGCTCGCGCGATACAGGAGCGTGGTAGGGGACGAGCAAGTCTACGACAGCGAAGAAAAACTAGTCGAGTATATTGATCCGTACGAGCTGCATGAAGCGGAAGGGGCGAGGAAGATTCCTAGTGCGGCGGTGAGACCCAAGAATATAGAGGAGCTCAAGGGAGTACTAAAGGTGTCGAATGAGTTTGGGATTCCCGTGTGGACGTTTTCAAGGGGAAAGAATCTAGGGTTTGTTTTCCTTCTCTTCTCTTCTCTTCTCTTCTCTTCTCTCTCTCTCTCTCTCTCTCTTTCTTTCTCTCCAATCTTCCAAATATAAAATGTAATGGCTCGTGTGATGAAGATGGCTTCTAACATTTGAAATAGATATGGTGGCCCAGCACCGCGAGTCACAGGCTCCATGGCACTAGATTTGCACCGCATGAATAAGATTATCGAAGTCAATACCGAGTATGCTTACGCCGTTGTCGAACCGGGTGTCACATTTACAGACCTTTACGAGTACTGTGTCAAGAATAAGCTAAATGTGTGGCCGTCGGTTCCATCGCTGGGCTGGGGCTCCGTCGTTGGCAACACGCTCGATCGGGGCACAGGCTTCACGCCGACATCGACGCACCACCAGCACATTGCTGGCCTAGAAGCCATGCTTGCAAACGGCGATCTGGTGCGGACCGGCCAATTTGCAGTGTCCAACTCTCCGTCTGCGCATCTCTCCAAGTTCACCTTTGGTCCTAGCATCGAAGGCCTTTTCTTACAGTCAAACCTCGGTGTTGTGACCAAACTTGGCATCTGGCTCACACCGGCGCCACAGGCCTACATGTCGTGTACTTTTGCCATGCCGGAGTTGGAAGACGCCGAAACAATTGTCGACATCTTTGGCCCGCTGCGTCGCGACGGCCTACTGCCAAACACCGTGTATGTGTCCAACGTGACAGAGTGGCTCGGTATGATGGGCCGGCGCGAAGACTTTTGGCCACACAAGACGGCGATTCCTGACTGGCGGATCAAAGAGCTGCAGACGGAGCTTGGGCTTGGGTACTGGAATGCAAAGTTCGGCCTGTACGGGGCAAAAGACGTGATTCAAGCGCATTTTGACCAACTGCAAAAGATTATCCTGCAAAAGGCGCCAAAGGGCCGGCTGGCGGGTAAGATGTTTGCTGCACCAGAGGGCCAAACGCTCGATGCAGCGTCAGTACCCGAGGCTGAGGGCGGCTTCTTTGTCGGGGTGCCTTCGCTTTGGTCGCTGCCCATGGTCAAGTTCAACTTGCCCAAGTCTGGAGGCGGCATTGGCGCACATTACGACTACAATCCGATTATTCCGTCCAATGGCAAGGAGATTTTGTCGTGGGTCAAGACGGCCAAGGGCGTTTGTGAAAAGCATGGATTTGACTTGTTCTGCGACTTCTTCATGCACGAACGTCATGTCATCTTCATAAACATGTTGACATTTGACAAGTTGAATGCAGGGCAGCTAGAGGCGGTGCAGAGGATCTTTGACGACTTGTTCGAGCAAGGGAAAAAGAGGGGGTATAGCAATTATCGCAGTCATGTGGATTACATGGGTACGTATCTTTGCTGTTTGGCTGTGGGGGGGTTTGTGGGAGCTGACAAGGGGCTAGATCGCGTTGCCTCGCTGTACGATTTCAACGACCATGCATACCGAAGATTTGTCGAGTCGATCAAGGATGCAGTGGATCCAAACGGCATTCTTTCACCGGGCAAGCAGGGCATTTGGCCGAAACGGTTCCGCGAAGAGGAGAAGACAAAGGCTCACTTGTAGTATGTGTACAGTAAGTTGTCAGAGAAATGGAATGGTGTCAGGGATATTAGTGGCGTTCTGGCCATGGACGGTGCTTTTGAATGGACGCTTGTCTGTCATGTGGCTAGACACCATGTGGTTGATTGTATTTTTGTGTTGTGTTGCTGTATCAACATGAGCCCCTAGCTAGCCCGGTAGATGGTTTCGAGGAAATGTCATTGATAGCAGTGTCTTTGCAGGAGATGGGGGCAGTATGTCTGTACCATGGATATCCCCATCATTGTGGAAGCATTCGGATCGTGATGACTAGGATACCATGAAGTGTATACTGTACCAGGGTCACGAGTAAGGGGGTAGACGTCACATGCAGTCTTGCAAACTTGTTTTTCGAACAGTACTGTGTAGTAGTAGTAGTAGGGTATAGTATAACTTTGGAGACACAGATGATACATGACCGAGTCAAGTGGTGAGAGCGGTGTACCCTGATTCTGCCATCTGCCTGTGCAGTCATGATCGTCCCGCCACCGAGATCGAGACTGAAAAGACCGTGTGGTGCAATTACCTGTCGACGATCTGTTGCAGCCATCGACGAGTCGTGGAGATTAAAGCAGCGATAACCAATCGGTGAGATTATCGTATGAAGATTAGCCAATTCGGAAGCCCCGATGGGTGTGGCGCTGAGGTGTGGCGCGTGTGGCGGTCGCAGCCAGCAAACTCGGTGGCACAATTGGGGGTGGCTAGGAAAGGGAGAAGGCAAAAGGGTTGAGGGTTATTAGAGGGAAAGACGAAGTTGGGTCTGCACTGACTACACTACACTACTACACTATGGCCGCTAGGAGGGATGGTGAGGGTCGATGACTGAGAGGTCTGGGGAGGCAAGCGGGAGGCGTGGAGATGCGGTGCCTGACGATCGATAAGTGGACTGCTGACGGTTGTGGGTGCAGGAGTACTTCTAGTGTGTAGTAGTAATAGTAGTAGTAGCAGTGGTAGTAGTGGTGGTAGTAGTGGTGGTAGTAGTCTGGGAAGGTGCAGCAGCTGGGGCACATGGCAGGGTGGAAGGCGCAGTGGACATGGCATGGCATGGCATGGCAGGGCCTGAGGTGAAAATGACGCAGTGCAGGCGTGGCGGAGTAGCGAGTAGCGTGCAGCGGATTCCATGGTTGGGGGCGGCGTTGGAGACGCGACACAGACATAAGACAGGCAAGGATTTCGGAGCGACTGAGGTTGGCAGTGGCTGAGGAGGGAAGGAGCCAATCAGCGAGCAGGAGCGGGCAAGCCAAGGCGGAGGGCGGTGGGTCAAGGAAGTATCGCTCCGACGGTGCCTTGTCCATCTGATGAATCTGATAGCAGCAGCAAGAGCGGCACAAGCACAAGCACAAGCACGAGCACGAGCACAAGCACAAGCACAAGCACAAGCATAATAAGCAGAAGCAGGCGCACGCGGGCAGGCGGGCCAATGGCGAATGGCGAGGGACGGAGGGTGGCGCGTCAACATTCCGGCCGGCGATTGGCGGGCCGGGGTTTAGGCGGCTGCAGCTGCAGGGCCAGGTCAGCAGTCACCAGCCATGCTATGCCATGCCATGCCACGCCATCCGTCCATCCATTCCACCCATCCATCAGCCAAACCGTTGACGACTGTGGCCATGCATGACGACAGGCCGAGGCCGACGTCGAAGCCACCCAAGTAGGCGTACACCAGGCAGTGTACTACGCGGTGCACAGTCACGTCCACGTATCCATGTAGCATGTAGTTTGTTGTACAGGTGTGTCTACACCTAAGTAGTATCTCGCTCCATAGCATGCGTAGTCGGCATGGACCTACATGGAAGCTGCATGCTCGCCCTCGTGTGGCGGCGGCCATGGCAGAAGACGGCAGCTCGAGACGACACGACACGACGCGGGCCATGTCAGCGAGCGGCGAGCGGCTCCAGGAGGGCGCAATGTTTCGGAGAGGTGTGGCGCCCATGTTCTTGCCTCTTCCCAAGTGCGCAGTGGGCCCCGCCTCGTCTGGCGCTCCTACACAGCCCCAATGGGCTTGCGTTGGTACTCCTAGCCTGGCCCTGCACCTCGAACGAGCCCCATCATCGCCTCCCCGTCGCCTCACCCATCGCCTGCCTCCGTCGCCCTCATCGCCAAAAAGGGCCGTTGCAGAAGGCAGGAAAAAAAAAAAAGGCCCGTGGCCGCCGTGATCGATCCTGACTCGGTCCCCGTCTGCGTGCGTGTGGATGTGTGTGTGTGTGTGCTTGCTTACATAGTCGTCGTCCATGTCGTATGTACATGCCGACCTAAACCAGGCTGGCTGGCTGGCTGGCGGGCTGCACCACCCCCATCTCTTCAGCCACAACCCCATCCACCTCGCAGCTCGCTCGCCCTCGGCACCCTTTGACCACGCACCACCCGCGCCCTGCGACCCGGCCGCCCTGCCACCCTGCGCCTCACCCTCACCTTCACCTTGACCTTCACCTTCACCCTCACCACCAGGCAAGCCCTGCACCACTTCCCCAAACGCTCCCTTCTCCCCCATCCCCCATCCCCCATCCGCCCTTGCCCGCTGTCCGCTGTCCGCTGCATGCTGCACTGTGTCCTGTGGCTCAACCCCTCCACTGACGTCCTGCGCTCGCCAGGCGCCAATTGCCGCTTGCTCCACCCGGCCCGCTCTGTCTCTGATTGAACGGCACACGGCGACCCTCTAATACCATTGTGCAATTGCGAAGCTGGCTCTCCCACCTGCCCACGTTCATCTCGAGTGTCGGTAGCAGACACTCGCACGCGCGCACGTGCACGTCTGCATCTCATCGCATCGCAACAAAGGTCAGCACCACCGCGATCCCCCCCATGCCGCTTCGCTGATCAAGAGAAGCCCTGCGCAATCTTGCCCGTTGCGACTTCGCCAGTGCTGACGCGAGTCTGAAGACGCGTATCTCAACTCCTCGCTCCTGTCGCCCCCAGCCCACCATGGCCGCCTCGACGCGAGCACTCACCCCAACCCCGACAAATCCATTTAATGCTGTCAACGGCCCCAGCACCCCAGGCTCTGCAGCGCGCAACTCGCACGGCGGCGCAACCTTTGGAACCCATCTCACAAAGTCTCCCCGCGGCCTGTCGCCCCAGCTCTCCCCACAGGCCCTCGCCGGACCTGGTGCCCTCGTCGACGAGCGCCGCTTTCGCGAGCCTTCATCGCGCCAGACGAGCCCCAATCCTGCGGCTTCGGTCCTGCAGAGCCTGAATGGCACCGTCCAGTCCATCGGCCATTCTTCAGGCGCCCCGCAAGAATCCGCGCCGGCTACCAAGCCCGACAAGATTGCGAAGCCGCTCATGATCCCAGATAACAATGGAGTCACTGGCGAAAACATGCAAACCAGCCCAGTCAGTCTTTCCAGCTTTGGCGATGGGGATGCGCCAAACGCGCCCGGTGTCTCTGCCACAGAAGGCGGTGCTCTTGGCAACACGCCTCGGGAAGGAGCGCCTCACCAGCCGCAACAACAACAGCAGTCGCAGCACCATCAGCATCACCACCAGCTCATCGCCCCAAACCCTGCCGACAACCCGGGAAACCGCGCCTTTACCTTTCCCGGTCCCCTTCCCCCGGAGCCTGATCCTCGCGCCCCAGCCCGCCAGATGAGTCTTCCTGGATACGGCCAAAACACGCCCAAATCGCCATCGACAAAACGCCACAAGTGCCCATACTGCTCTACAGACTTCACCCGACACCACAACCTCAAAAGCCACCTGCTAACCCACAGCCAAGAAAAGCCCTATGAATGTCCCACCTGCCAAGCACGTTTCCGCCGTCTACATGATTTGAAACGACATACGAAACTACACACCGGCGAGCGTCCGCATACCTGCTACAAGTGCGGCCGCAGGTTTGCTCGCGGAGACGCTCTTGCGCGACACAACAAGGGTCAAGGTGGCTGCGCGGGCCGCCGCTCTAGTTTCGGCATCGATGACGATCTTGGCGATTCCAAGGGTGATGAAGGCATGGACGGCGTCATCTACACTGGTGAGCCTGACGGAGAGGGCGATGAAGACGACGACGGTCGCCGTGTCAGCGAACCCGCGCGCAAGCGACAAAACACTGGAAACTCAACGCAAGATTCGTACCACCAGCATTCTAGCACGTATCCGCCAATTGCCGCGAACCGGGGCTCAGGCAGCCAAAACAATCTTCGACCTTACTACCCAGGCTCTTCTGCGCAGGCAGCTAATGTGTCGCCCAAAGCAGCTCCGACCAACCTTGCTTCTGTTCACAACGCAAACACGCAATCGAATGTCTTTGGCCAGGGCGGCATGACGGAGAGTCCACGGCCACTCTCACCAGGCCAGCAGGAACAGCATCGCCTTGCGCCAGAAAGCAACATGCCAGGCTCGCGCTCACCAAGCCTATCGCATCACATGCACCAGCAAAATTATGCCCGTGGCCATGGTACACCTCCTGTTAGCCTTGCTCCGCCCAACACCAGTAATGGACCTCACTTGCCCTCTCTACCTGGACTTAACCCCATGCCTCCAAAGCAAGGCACTCAGGGAGGCAAGAGCAACGGCCCCAGCATGCTTCAGCACTCGGCCATGGCAGCTCCCACAGGTGGCTCACAACCAGGCAGTCTCTCTAGCCACGGTGGCAGCGGCAGCAGCACACGTGAAGTCATGGGCAACCATGTCGATGTGTGGCAATATGTTCGCGAGATTGAAGCTCGAATGGCTCGCATGGAAAAGGAGCACAACGACAAAATCTCCACGTTGCAAAACGAAATCACCACACTGCGTGCCCAGCTGGCACAGCAGCATGTTAATAACACACAAGGCTAACAGCAAAGTCACTAGTGGGGGCCCCCTTTTCTTCCGGCTGCAAGGGCTTCTCTTTGTGGTTTCGCTACAGTGTCATGTTTTCTTTCTTCCATGTGTGTGTGTGGCTTGTTGTCTTTAGACCGGCGCTCTGCATGGGCGGTGCGGTGAAAAGCGCTCGACGAGCGAATAACGGAGGCGTTCTACGGAGTACAAACCCAAGATTGAGCAACAGACGTCAGGGATCACGAAGAGCATGTAACAATGATACCCCATGCTAAGATTGCATGCACTCGATATTTGATCATGTTTCGCACTTGGCTTGTCTCTTCTTCCATCTTCCCTGTCTGTACAGTAGGCTTCATAGTATTTATTTGAGTGTTTGATTGGATTGGCGTACCAAATGCGGAGAGCTTGATGTGATGATGAGCATGCGTGAAGAGAGAAAAAAAATTTCTTCTGCCCTTATTACTATGTACACACAGGCTTGCGATGGCTGTGGTCGGTGACGTACGTACGTGTGATGCCAGCAAAGCATGCAAAGCCACACGCGGGTCTCTTCCAGCATCTTCCTTGGCTGCTGTCCATGTGAAGGGGGTGAAGGAAGCGACTTGTGCTTCTTTTTTGAAACCATTGCCCGGTACATGTAACTCGCTGGACAAGTCTTGTCGAAATAAGCAAGCAGACGCAAGCACGAGGCTTGTTTGCAGCAGCGAGCACATGGCAGTTGTTGACAGCGGGGACGGGGATGGGGGCTGTAATAGAGGGCAGGAACGAACCTTTTGGGTCAAGTGCCGCGAGGGCGTCGACAGTCCCGAGCGCTCACCCGCTCCACTTGGCTGCTACACGTCAGAGCACTACCACCCAAACCTCTCACAACAGCGCACCTAGAACAGTGAACCCCTCACCGCACCCTGATCTGATTCCGGCTGATGTATGGCGAGCTGCTCTCCTGATAGGCGCTCCTGCGCAACGTTCCCACCTACTACGCCCAATCCAACAAGCCCATAGCCGCGCTGCCCATCTCGCCCGCACAAGCCTGCCCTGCTTTGGCGGCCCACACTCATATCAGCCTGGAGCTCCACGCCATCTCGCCGCCATGTTGAATTCGTCAGACTCGCACCGCCGCCGCAAAAAGGACCCGGATCGCGAGCGCAGAAGCTCCCGCACAAAGGATAGGGACAGAGACAAGGACAAGGACCGCCCACGCCGTAAGAGGAGCCGCTCCCGCAAGACCCGCTCGTCCGCCTCCAAGGACGACGACGACACTGAAAAGCCGCCCCTGCCCAGCCGCCCCTCGTCTGAGCGGGTGCGCACTTCGACCTCGACCTCGACTCTCGCCTCCTCGCAGGCCTCCAAGTCGCACAAGATGGCAGTCGTGCCCGAAATGGGACGCCGCGGCTCGTTGGGCTCGGACAATACCTCGAGGATCAGCTTACCGTACCCGTCGCATTCCAAGACGTATGCAAAAGAGAGCATCTACGCCCGCGACACCATCGACAGAAGAAAGTCGACCATGACGCCAGAAGCCACGGATGTCGACACAATGGTGGCAGACAAGGACAATGAGGAGCCCACTGTGGCACAGCCACCCAACCACGTACCACCCCCGCCCTCGCGAGCGCCCCCGAGTCCCCCGCTCACTGCGACTACCGCTGCAGATTTGAGGAGAGCAGCCAGCTCAAACAGCATGTGGCGCAGAGACGCAGACGTACTTGCCCGGGAGATGGAGGACGGTCGCCAGAGCGTAGACAGCGGTACGCGCATGACATCGCACGCTGGCCCCCGGATAGCATCGCGCTCTAGTGTCAGGGAGGGCGACGAATTCGACGGCACTGACCTCACCTCCACCACCGGATCACAGCCCAGCACCATTCGTGCAAAGTCGCCTCAATTGGCGCCGAGGACGACGACAGCAAGTCCCTCCAATGCCCGGCCGCCGGGCAGGACCTCGACACCAGTGAGAACATCAACACCAGCCAGAACATCGACACCCATCAAAGTCAAAGTCAAGAGCAGAGCACCATCTGAATACACCCTCGATTCGCAAGCTACCTCTGTTATCCAGGATCACAGTGCCCACCATCGGGGCTCCTCTCCCCCGCAGTCAGACGCATCGCCCTCGTCTGTCGTAGATTCATCGCCACGCACTCCCACCCAGCACTCAGTTCTGCCTTCTGTTGTCTCCTCTGCCAAGGATGGACCGTCTGTGATTGAGGTCATGACAGACCCCATGTCCCGCACTCAATCGGTAGACCCCAGCTATGCACAGGCACCTATGACGCCGCCACCTCCACCTCCACCCCCAATGATGATGGACGCTCCTCGAGTCGACTACTTGCTGCAGAATGGTGGCCTTGCCAAGCCAATTCCGCGAAGCTTGCTGGCAGCCATTGATGGAGTTCCTGCTGCTTCGTATTCTCACTACACTACGCCGCGACTATCTGGTGCACAAGCTCACGATGTGCGATCATTTTTCAAACCATTGCAGAACGTTCTCAACAGTTACAATACCGTCATGGACACGAGTGGTTCGCTAGCCGTTGCCACGGGCTACCGTTCGGTTGCACGGCGCCTGCTCGATCGTCTCGAAAACGTTTTTGCTCGCAATATCTCATCTGAGCATTGTCAGTGCATGATGTGCTTTGACCGGCCAGTCGTTGAGGATTCTGCGGGAGTAAACTGGGGAGAGGTCTTGGAACTTGTTTCCGGCCGTTGTGAACTGCCACCATGGCCACCCTATGAAGAAGGACCTGGGCCCGGACTGGGCATATCATCTGACCTAGAAGCGCCATGCCAACGAATTGATGTCGACGTTCCCGAGCAGTACCGCGAGCACTACGAGAAGCAGTCGAAGAAGACCAAAGTCGCAGTACAGTCTTGGCTGTCTGATCAGCAGGATAATGTTCCCGAAGATGCTGATGACGAGACACTAACATTTATCATGCTCACACGCCTAGAGCAACCACAGCGACCGCTCTTCTATGCGCTGCTATGGGGGTTAGAGAAACTTCCAAATCCCAGGACGCAGAAGCCTGACACGGGCACTCCGCCATACCTGACCAAGGCCGGCGTCGCACTGCAGCGTCTATATCGACTGACGAGCCCGCCGCGTGACCAGCTAACTGTCATGTATCTTATCCAACATGCCGACATGCACAACATGCTGGCAACACTAGCAGCGGTTACCAAGCATGAATGGGAGATTCTTGTGTCTGGGCGTTTTGACGGGTTCCTGTGGTCTGGCACTGAAGACGTGCCGGACCTGAGCGGGACTCCCCCTCGAACGGGCTCGAGGGCGGGTCAAATACGACCGGCCGACGGACCGCAGCGATTTGCTTCACCGTTCACGCCATACTCGCGCCCTGGATCCACCCGGCCGGGATCAGTGCGACCGCCGGGAGGTGCACCAGTACAGATTGATGAAGAAACGGAGATTGCCGTGCTGGCAGAAATTGAGCGAGAAATCTACCTGGGCATGGAGGCCATGGAAGACGCCTTTGAACAGCTTCACAACCAGGCAGAAATGGTACGGCGACGGCTGCGTGAGCGGGCGGCAGCTCTGTCCATGGTGGCACAGCGACGCAGGGGCATGGGGGGCATTGAAGTCCGGACGGATACACCGGCCAACCTGCGCGACGCCGACGAAGGCATCGACGATCTTAAGAGCGAGATTGGACCTGACGACTCGGCCAGCAATGTTAGCAACAACCGAAGACGGAAAGCCCATCGGGCGCGCGAGAGGAGGACGCCAGCTCCGGTGGAGGAGGAGAGCGAGGAAGACGTGGCGCTTGCGGAGCGGATACGCAGACGTTTCTGATGTGAATGAATAAAGACTTGGGACTGACCTGGGTATTTGGTAGAGTTTCTTTTGATGTTTCTTTTTGCTTCTGTCTTGTTAGCAGGAGTTTATTTGCCGTTTTTGTCAATGGTTTGGGGGCACCATGGCGGATACGATTTCATGGGTTTGAGATGACGGCCGCAACAAATGGATACCCAATTTTTAGTGAGAGAGTGTGGACGAGGGCATGGACTGTGGGCCGTGCTGCATGCTACATAGCTTGGCGTAGATGGCGTATGTATACGAAATGTATATTGTTTGCTTCGCGGGTCAGACGGATGACGTCAGTTGTGATCGCTGCCAGCATGTTGATTCGCATGAGGGTGAAGGGGAGGGAATAGCAGTAAGTAAGTAAGTAAGCAATAATAAGTGTGCTCCAATCATGCTGTGCTGTGGGCCGCTTCTTCAGACGGCCGGCTCCACGGATACATGGCGCAATTGCAATGGAGACGACTGGCTGCCAGCGTGTCGTGGACAGGACGCGATGGGACGACTGAGACGAAGGGCTGTTGCATGCTCGCAGGCACTCATGGTTTCGAGGGCATGGCGAGAGGGAAGAGGGAAGAGGGAAGAGACAGGCGTAGTATCATGGCTACAGACGCGACGCAGTACTAACTAACAAAGTATCCTTGCCTTGCACGCGCCGGGCATGCCTTCCCCTCCATGACAACGGCAGATAACAAACAGGCTGGGCGACGCGGATACATGGACTTGGATACATGCACATGGTAGTAGATCGGCGCATCCATACACAGACGAGCAAAGCCCAGCCTGGCATCCACTCGCGCATTGATTCACGCTCTCCGGTCCAGAGGCCGCCCGGCGCGCTTGTGCTGTGCTGTCTTGTGCTGTGCTTGCTGTGTTGTCTCTCGCCTTCGCATCGTCGTCAGTCACATCGACGCCCACCACCGACGCCCATCGCCCCCCCACCATTCGCCGCCGCCGTTGCCCTCGCAATCCGTGTTTACCCAACACTGTCCTCTGGTCGGTAGGCACCTCTCCACGCCCAACGCCCGTCCTCTCCTTTGCCAGTTCATGTTCACTGGCCCGGCCAGCACTCGCTTCTGGCCCCGCCAAAGCCGATTCCGCGAGGCGCGACGTCGCCTTGGATTTGGCCTTTGACGCTCAGTCCTGTCGCTTCGCTGTGACCGCTCTTTCGTGGCACCACCACCAGTAGTCGCTCGCTTTTGCCCGCCAGCCAGAACCCGCGCGCGCGTACGTTGCCTGCTCTGTCTCATCTCGTCCCGACCCCGCCTGCGCCGCCCCCGTGTCCAGCAACACCATGGCGGCCGAAGTAGGCGCCAACGAATCTGTCGACCCCAACTCGCTCTACACCAAGCAGGAATGCATAGGCGGCGGCAGCTTTGGCAAGGTCTACAAAGGCCTCGACCGCCGGACCGGCCATACCGTCGCCATCAAGGTCATTGACGTCGAGAATGCAGAGGACGAGGTCGACGACATCATGGGCGAGATTATGATTCTCTCCGGCATGAACTCGCCCTACGTCACAAAGTACTACGGCTCCTACCTGGCTGGCACCGACCTGTGGATTGTCATGGAATTCTGCTCTGGCGGGAGCTGCGCAGACCTCATGAAGCCAGGCATCATAGCAGAGGCCGAGATTGCTGTCATCCTGAAGGAACTACTCATGGGCCTCAGCTATCTTCACGACGACAATAAGCTGCATAGAGACATCAAGGGTAGGTTGACCAAGGTGCTGTTATTTTTATCCTTCAGTTTCTGTTTGCTTTTAGTAATCTCGCCCAGACCGCTAACAAGTTTGCAGCGGCAAATATACTGGTTGGGGCAAATGGACAAGTGAAGCTCGCTGATTTTGGTGTCTCGGGGCAGCTTTCGGCCACCATGACGAAGAAGAATACCTTTGTTGGCACCCCCTTTTGGATGGCACCCGAAGTAATCAAGCAGTCTGGCTACGACGGCAAAGCTGACATCTGGTCTCTTGGTATCACTGCACTTGAACTGGCCAACGGCGAGCCCCCTTACGCCGACATTCACCCTATGAAGGTTCTCTTTCTCATCCCCAAGAACCCACCGCCCACATTGCAAGGCAACTTTTCGCCCGCTTTCAAGGAATTCGTCGACTTTTGTCTCCGAAAAGACCCTAGGGAACGACCGAGTGCAAAACAACTTCTTCAGACAAACTTCATTCGCAAAGCTGGAAAACCTGCACGTCTACAAGAGCTCATCTCTAGGTACCAAGACTGGAAGGTTAGGTATCCAAAGGAGGCTGCAGAATCGGATGATGAGGCTACGCCTGTCAAGAGAAAGGAGCCAGTCAATGAAGACCTGTGGGACTTTGGCACTGTACGGCCGGTGGGAGGCGGCCGGGGGCCTGCCCTCACCCAAATGAACGAATCTGGCACAAATGCTCAACGCAAACCCGTCTCCCAAACCAAGAACGGTTACGGCGACGAAAACGACGACACAATTCGAGAAAGTCAGCCTCCTTCCCCTAGCAAACGATTGGCACCATTGCAGACGAATGGCTCATCTGCAGCATCGGTGAGAACCGCAGCGAGAGTACCACTACCACCATCCCCAGAGAAGAAGCAAATACCACTCTTCCCACAGCCAGCCTCGGAGCTTCCGCGGAAGTCGCCTGTGCCTGGTCTCTTTTCACCAACATCAAACAGAGGGCTAGTCACGCCCACCAAATCACAGGCCCCTCAGCAGCCAAGGCGGCAAACACCACTCCAGCACACATTTGATGATTTCATCCAACGCGAGATAGCTGCAGATTTAAAGAACCTGGACATCACTCCACAACAACGAATACCGACACCAAGCCGAGCTTCAGTTCTGCCCCAAATGGATATACCAGAGATTCCGCCGTTCCGTGGGCAGTCGACAAGTCCGTCTGGGAGCAGCTCGCATGCCAACCAGCTGCCAAAACCGTTGCAAAGCCCCATTCGAACACACAACCTACCTGTCCTGTCCGGACAGAAGCCCCTGCCGCCATCCCAACAGTCGTTCGCACCACTGAGTCCAGGCTCCTATGTGCGGACTGACTCAGCGACGTCGAAGGATCCATTTGGCAGTCCGATTACGTCCAACAGAAAACCACCGGCGGAACAAGGTCAAGGCATGGAGCCAACCCCTCCAGTGCCTCCACCACACTCTAGCAAACCGCCGCCCATGTCCCGTGGGTCCTTTGGCCGCGCTAAGCCTACAACCAATCACTCCAACCCAGTTCAAGCACTGGGCTCACCCGCAACACCCGCGGAAATCACAGCGCTCAGTGGAGTTGTTGTGCCGGCGCTGGACGCTGCGCTCTCGCGGCGGACGTATCATCTCAATCTCAAGAACAAGCAGGAGTCTGCGCAATCCCTAGACGACCCACAGGGATTTATTGAGCGTAGACGGCAAAGGCAGGAATGCCATGAAAAGGTGGTCAGGCTCGTGAATGAGATCAAGGGCAAGTTCAGCGAGTTGGATGGATGGGATGAAAAGGGGGAAGTGGGCATGGGGGGAGAGGTGGCTGGGTTCTTGGAGGGATTCCTGGAGGAGGTGCTTGTAAGGGTTGAGCCTGCAGACGATTGAGAGCGGCAAACTTGGTTGTCCCGGCGCTGAATGCATTTGAAGGTGTTTTCTAGGTTCGATTGCTCCTTTGGCATGGCGTTTAGGCATGGCGGTTGCGGAGAGGGTCACCTGAGGGTTGCAGTGTATTTGCAGCCATGTTTCTGTTTCCCGGCCTTTCTGTTCTAACAATGAAACAATAATCATTTTCTCCCACAAGAAACGTTTTGCTGTATCGCGAGTCATTGGAGCCCAAGACGAACGTTGGACGGAGCGGCTGCCGTGGGGAAGGGGCCAGCCTCCAATCAGGGCGCAGACAGCTCCGGACCCTGACATTTGTTTCGTCACTTGTCCAGGGACATCTCATTACCATCTCTACGCTTTCCGCTCAGCACCGAGCAAGGCTTTGCTACCATGGCGTGAGCATCAAGCCATCTTTTGAGGAATACCAGCAGCTAATTTGAAATTATCAGGCGTACAATTCGCAGCCATGCGCTCGAAAAGCTTGCCCGCCTGTCGGCGCAGTCAACCTCGCCAGAGACGACCAACTCCGACTACGGCAGGATGTTTAAGCGATTCTCCAACGCATCCGACTCCATGAAGCTGCAGGAACTCGAGGCAATCCTGGCTCTTTGCAAGTCTGCGCCCTACATTGAGTCATTTGACGTTGCCGAGAAGCTGCTTTCCCGCCTCTCACCCTATCTCACCACGTCCTATACTCAGACTTTCGCGCCGTCGCCTAGCCTCCGCATCATCGAGCCCGCTCCCTATGAAGTCCTCACCTACAACCTTACGTCTGCCGTTCTCTCACTTGGCCTCCGACATGAACAGCTACAAACACAGGCCGCTGTCGCGCTTCAAGGTTATCTCACGGGCTGGGCCACAGCAGCCGTCCAGCTGTCTGAACAGCAATTTGTCGACGATGGAAAGGACGACTTTGGGGCAGATGGCGAGCTGGCGCGGGTCATGACACATAGTCTCTCGCTCTTGGGCTTCTTGAATGCTTCGGCAGAGCATGTTCGTTTCTGGAATGCCTACGATAGCCTGCAGCTCGTCCAGAATGTACGCACAAACTTGACGGAGAAGTTTCTGATTGCCTTTGAGACTGTCCTATCTATTGTCCGTAACGCGCACTCGCACCAGCACGAGCTGCGAGAATGGAAGCGCTACACTAAGCGTTATGCCGCTACTGGACGACCACTTGGAGCCATGGTTCTCCACGACTCATTCTTAAGGCTCGTCCTTGCTTCAGCTTCGCAGCTCGTTGGCACCGGACAACGTCTGATTTCGCATGACTCTGTTCTCGACCACCTCCAGACTTGGCTAGACAACAAAGACCGTCTGCACCTCAAGGCCACAGCCGAGAATTCTCTAGCCGAGGGACTGGCTAAGATTGCAGCGGAGGAGATGGAACGCCTAGAAAACGATCTTGAATACCTCCAGCGGGTCGGATCTGCTTGGCAACAGCAGCAGGCATCGTCGGTCAAGGCAAAAGTGCTTGTCGCATATCTCTGCTGTACCGTGTATGACAACGACACAGACATTACTGATGCCGAAATATTGACCTCTTGGCTGGACAACGTGCTCAATGACCCTGGACAGAGTTCGGACCATAAGCTTGCGTCTACAGTCTTGAGAATCATGGCTATTCTGGCCAAGGTCTCACCGCAACTCGCATCAACCTTGGGGCAATCGCTGCCTCGAGTCATTGTTCAAGCCAACTTTGACCACCGAACGACTTCGGTGGCTGCAGAATCACTCGCTGCAGTCCTGAGTCTTCTCCCTCAAGATGCTATTATCACGACGCTCTATAGCCTTGGTAATGTTATCAGTGTAGTTCCTGCCTCTGAGCGAAACCCGTCTGCGTCTCCGACGTTGAATGGTACAAAGACTGCGCGTGGAGGTACTGTCTACAACCATCAACATGGCAGTGCGATCTCTCTGGCCCCAAGCGACGTTGACGAGCCGCACCATGTACACACGACAGTTGTCGAGACGATTGTATCAGTTGCCAGAAACTGCAAGGACTCAAAGATTACTGCACTTGCACTATCAATGCTCGTGCAAAAAATCGGCCGTTCTGGCAAGGTAGTAGATGCAAAGATCATCACTGACACAGCCTTCCTGGGCATTCACAGTCCGCCTGGAGAATTCAAATCCCTTCTTAAGCTTTATACTAAGCTTTCTCACGATGCTCTGGTATCCGATGATGTTGCAAAGCTTGAAGCCGTGAGCACCCTCTCCCCCAATACAGGTACTTCGCAGCAACTAACATATTTGCAGGTCATGGCTGCGCGCCTCAACCTCTCAAAGGAGATTACTGCTGGCGAAGACGCTTTCGAAGTTTACTTTGTGCACTTGTTAGATACCATTGTCAGCAAGGGTGATGCCCAAGAAACGTCTCACCGTCATCTTCGAGATACGGAACTTGCGGCACAGGAAATCGCACAGCTTCTCAAACCACTTGCAGTCCTTCTTGAACGAAACGCTGAACGGCCCGAGTACGCCAAGCTTGACGACTCTATCATCGGCCTCCAGCGCGATGCCTGGTTCAACATTGTCGTTCATGGATTCGACTTGCTCTCCGACTTGGGCAAGCAGTATCGTGAAGAGCTGCGCACACTTGCGCGGTTTAGCAAGCCTCTGATTACCGAAGAGCGCCCTTTTCTCTCTGAGAGCGATATTGAATTGAACACGGTACTGCGTCGCGGTAAATCACCTGAACACACGGTCGAGCAGAAGAAACGCCTTGGCAAATTACTTCCATCCTGTGAAGCTGATACCAAATCACTCAACTATCAGGAAGCTGTTTTCTTAAGCACAGCTTACCTTGTGGAAGATTTGCGAGCAAGTACGGGAGATTGTACCAAGGCGCTTGTGTACTTCCTCGATCCCAAATTGCGAACAGGCGCAGTCGGCAACTGCATGTCTGCTATCAGCACGACGGCCGTTCGAACTTACTTGACAAAGACACTGTCCGGTCAATCCCACACCTTCTCGACGCCGTACTTGGCGAAGCAGCTAGCCACCATGTTTGCTGCCTGCTGCCATCGCATCGCTCGCGTTCAGCAAGCGGCAGCCACTTGTGCCGATATTGTCATTCGCGAAGTCCCATCGACCTTGTGCCAGAAGAGTGCGTTGTTTGCTCTTTTGGAGCTTCTTTCAATCATGTGGTATAGCTGCCTCGAAGGAGAGACGGACGAATACACTTGGAAGTCGACATTTACCTCCAAACGATCCAACATCGCCGTCGAATTGTCAGATGACTATGCTTTTCGACGAGCGACCCTTGATGCATTGCACAAGCGCGCAACCATCTGGGTCAAGGGAGCGCTCGACATTGCCCCCCTCGACGTCAAAGGACTTCTTCAGTCATATCTCTCAGAGTACGACGACGAGTTGACTTTTGGACATATCTCGTTGGGGCGATCTTTTGCCCTCGAGATGGGCTCTGTTATTCCGTCAACGGACCAGCGTCTCGGTGCTGTGGAACGCCAGGGCATCAATATCAACACCGCATCAGACTTCATTACCCAGTACACCACGAGACAAGAGTACAAATTCCTCGATGGTGTCGCTGATCAAGAGGAAGAATGGCTTAAGGGCGCCCCCGATTCCGAGTCCAGGTCAACGTATCTATCCCGCAGCCTACATGAGGCGACTAGCCTTTTGGTAGATCTGGAAACCCGTACCCTGGGACATAAGCATGTCGCCATTGCAGAGCTTCGCGACATACTTCGGAGAGCTGCCGCTCTACTTTGCCGGGTCAAGACAGATCAGTCGCCCATTGTTCAGCATCTGGTGGGTATACCATTTGCAGTATTCTCGAAGCAATCCATCAAACTCGGTATCTCATTATGGACGAGTGTTGCCAAGGAGAACCCTCGCATGGAGTCTCGGATTCTTGTTGCTATCGCTGAAAACTGGGAGAACACGGTGCGTAAGCGTAGGGGCATCTTCAGTCCTGCGTTGAAGCATGCCGACCCGTTCTACGGAAAGCAAGAATTTGCTGCCACGGATAAAGAGTCGCTTTCGAAACGTCAGCAGCATGTCTATAATCTCATTGCTCCCCACTTCCGCCTGTTGCAATTTCTGTCCAGCCACTTCAATGCATCACGGTTGAGCAAGGCGGATGTCGAACGCGTCTATGTTCGGCTTATGCATATCACACTGGATGCAATGAGTATGGGTTGCGAGCAGCCTCTTGCTCGCGAATCTTACTTCCATATCATCTTGCTCGGATTGCGCATCGCACACCATTGTACCACAATTTCGTCCAAGACTAGATGGCGATTGACGGATCGAGTATTGACTGCTGCTTTGGCGTGGTTTGCCAAGGCTCCCCAGTGGTCTTTTGGAGGCAACAGACTACAAATCAAAGCTGAAACACATGTCTTGGCTGATGTACAGGCGCAAATTGATACCATTGGGAAGGTTACCACCGCTGTTGACATTGGTGCGAAGCTGAAGGCGAAGCAAGATTTGCTGTCCCTACTTGTCTCCAACGAGTTGTCCCGTCTTACGGTGTGGCTTTTCCCTCTTGACGGCAAGAAGAATCATCTGATCTCTGGCCGACAAGGCAACACACTCCCTGATGTAAGTCTCTTGTTCCAGAACGCAATGTAAGCTAATCTCTCTAGGCTGCTGTGACTACGCATCTGAAGACGGCGTGGGCCGAGCATCCTGGAATTGCGGTGCATCTTGTCAAACGCTTCCAGTCCCAGCGTCTTAGTAACGAAGTCAGATGGCAGGTTCTCAATTTCCCACAAAAGGCCTTGGATGAGCCGGATGCGCTGGAGATACTGTTAGGTAACTCCCTACCTAATGATGTCTCCTTCCAGCTCAAGGTATGTGCCATATCATGAACAATTTCTTTTGCTGACCCTGTCTAGTATATGCTCTACTGGGCCCCTGTCAACCCTATCACAGCTGTCACATACTTCATGCCAGCATATGGCAACCATCCCTTCATCATCCAGTATGCAATGAGGGCTCTGGAGAGCCACTCAGTAGATGTCATGTTCTTCTACGTCTATCAAATCGTACAGACCCTTAGATACGATGTACTGGGCTACGTTGAGCGGTACATTATCGAGACAGCCAAGTTCTCACAGCTGTTTGCTCATCAAATCATCTGGAACATGAAGGCGAACGCGTACAAGGATGAAGCTGCCGAGATTCCGGATCCTGTGAAGCCCACGCTGGACAAGGTAATGGCCAGTCTGGAGTCGAGTTTCTCACCAGAAGACCACGCCTTTTACGAGCGCGAGTTCGCATTCTTTAACGAGGTTACCGGCATTTCGGGTACTTTACGCTCGGTTTTGCATGAGCCTAAAGAGGTCAAGAAGCAGAAGATTGAAGAGGAGCTGCGCAAGATCAAGGTAGAGGTTGGCGTCTACCTTCCTTCTAATCCTGATGGTCAGGTTATTGGCATTGACCGCAAGTCTGGAAAACCACTGCAGAGCCACGCCAAGACACCGTTTATGGCTACCTTCCGCATTAGAAAGACCAAGCCCGAAGACCAAGGTTTGGAAGAGACTGAAGTTGATGACCGAGACGTGGCCCCAAAGAAGGATAACAGCTACGAGACATGGCTTTCTGCCATTTTCAAAGTCGGAGATGACTGTCGCCAGGACGTGCTTGCTCTACAGATGATTGCGGCTTTCCGGGGTATCTTCAACACGGTTGGTCTTGACGTTTGGGTGTTCCCCTACCGTGTGACGGCAACCGCGCCCGGCTGCGGTGTCATCGACGTGTTGCCCAACTCCATTTCGCGTGACATGCTGGGTCGCGAGGCCGTCAATCGTCTTGATGACTATTTTGTCTCACGGTACGGCAACGAAGACTCCATCCGATACCAGGAAGCGCGCTCCAACTTTGTCAAGTCCATGGCTGCATACTCCGTCATCAGCTTCCTGCTGCAGTTCAAGGATCGACACAATGGAAACATCATGATTGACGACGCAGGCCACATTATCCACATTGATTTTGGCTTCTGCTTCGACATTGCACCCGGTGGCATCAAATTCGAGCGCGCGCCGTTCAAGCTCACGGCTGAAATGATTGCCGTCATGTCTGGAAAAAATGCGGCGAATCCATACACCTCGCAAGCATACCGCTGGTTTGAAGAGCTCACGGTCAAGGCATTCTTGGCCAGCAGACAGCATTGCGACCATCTCTGCCACGTGGTTCAGGTCATGCTGGATAGTGGATTGCCGTGCTTCAAGCCAGAATCTATGCGCAACTTTAGGGATCGCTTTGTGCTGGACAAGAGCGAACGCGAGGCAGCCGAGTATATGCGAGGATTGATTGAGAAGAGTAGATCAAGTTACTCGACAGGAACATACGATCGGTTCCAGCTTATCACGAATGGCATTCCTTATTAGGATTGTTGTTGTTGTTGTTGTTGTTGTTGCTGCTGCTGCTGCTGTTGTAGGGAGAGGTAATAATTCTGTATATAGACACTATAGACGTAAAGAAACTTTTGAATCGGAGAAGATTTGCGGACCTAGGAATATCTCTGGATCTCAGGATACCTTTAGGTCTAAGAAAAACTTTTGGGTTTCATCATACTTTTACAACGGTCATAAAGTCATGCCGTGGTTTCGGCCGGCTTCTTTTCCTTCAAACCCGTCACAGTCTCCACATGGTCTGTACTCAGCACCGCCGACTTTATGAACAAGCTTGCTACAAAGCCAAAGAATGCAAGCACTGTGTAGGTGATCCACATGTTACGCATGGCGTACGCAAAAGCTTGTTTGGCAGCGTATTCCCATTTGGGGTTACTGCCTAATGTGCTCGGCACCATGACGTTTGCAAGCGCATTCTCACCATTCAGCAGTTCGCGGATATGCTGTGGGACGCCCGCGTCGCGTAGCAAAGAGGCCTGGCCATCCATGGAATTCTGGATGATTGTGCCGCCCACAATGGTGGATACAGCGACGGCAATGTTGCGAATAAACGTCAACGTAGCAGTTGCACTGGCGACATCGGACTGCTGGACCTGGCTCTGAATCGCAATCAGGGGCGCCTCGAAGAGAACTCCCGAGCCCAAACCGCCAATGGCCACGAAACCGGCTGCCACTGCCGTCGAAGTTGTTGCGCCGAAGGCGATGAACAGACCGAAGCCGATGGTCAGGAGCAGCGTGCCAATCCAGATGATGGGCCGGAAGCGTCCCGTCTTGTGCATTATCACACCGCATCCTACGCCGGCGAGGGCGCCGGTAACGATGAAGGGGAGGAGCAGCACACCGGAGCGTAGGGGCGAGGCTTCGAGGACGGACTGGAAGAAGAGCGGCATGTAGTATTCTCCTGCTATGAAGACGAAGCCGTGCAGGAACACGACAGATAGCACGGCGACGTTCGTAGCGCGCTTGAACAGGGCCATGGGTATCAGTGGGTACTTTGCGACTTTGGCCTCGCTGTAGATGAAGACGAAGAGCATGGCCGTACCGATGGTAAGGAGGACGATAATCTTAGGCGAAGACCAGGGAAACAAGACGCCGCCAAAATCGAGACCAAGGAGCAAGAGTAGCGTACAGGCCAAAAAGGTGACGATGCCGAGCCAATCGATCGCGCGAATGCCACGCAGAAACGACGTGTGTTCGTGCCGGATATCGAGGAAGAGCAGAACAAGAATAGACGCAACACCACTGATAGGAAGGTTGATATAGAAACACCATCTCCAACTCACCAAGCTCGCAAAAAGCCCACCAAGCACCGGTCCCACGCCCCCAGCTAACGCCCAAATCCCCTCGGCAAAACCCATCAGCAAGCTCCTTTCCCTCAAGCTAAACAAGTCACTAATGCACACATGCACCAGCAATATTAATCCGCCACCCGCAGCGCCCTGGAAGGCCCGCCCAATAATAAGTTCCTGCATCGTCTTTGCGGAAGCGCACACGGCAGAGCTGACGAAGAAGAGTGCGAGCGCAACGAGCATAATGAGCCTGCGGCCCCAGATGTCGGAGAGGGACGCCCAGATGGGACCGGAGGCTGCGTTGGCGAGGAGGTAAGCGCCCCCGATCCAGGTGTAGCCTGCGGCCGAGGAAAGGTCGCGGGATATGGTGGGTGCGGCGGTGGCGACGATGGTTGCGTCAAGGGCGGAGACGAAGAGAGAGAGCTTTTTTGGGGGGAGGGTTGGTTAGTGTACGTGCATGTATATAAAATCTTGGAGGTCCACTTCTTGTCTTCTTTTTCTTTTTCACCTTCCATGGTTGAGCTTCCTGATCAAAAGGTTGTAGTTTGGCAAAAGACAGTGATGATAAGCAAGAGAAGGTCAAACATACAAACAAGGCGGTGATAATAGCGACCAAGCGCACTCTACTTCTCTTTCTCCTCTCCTCTAAAGTCGCAACATCTTGTTCTATTCCTTCTGTCTGCGCTGCATGTGGAATCCCGTCTTTCCCGGGTGTGGTGGCCGGTAGGATTTGTAGCTCGTGTTGCTCCATCTCTTTTTGTCAATCCCCCAAATAGATGGTAATGTCAATTGAAATTTGGATTATGCACACCAACGCTGATTTCAATGGGCAAAGGCACCTTTATATGTATATCGTCAGGACATCCAAGCGAGGTTTTGCAAAAAGACAATGGGAGGACTACGAATGACTGTGTGATGCTTACAGCATGCAATGTCGTGATGCCCTTTTTTTCCTTAGCGCCCGTCACCGCTAGATGGGCTGGGAGCCAATCAGGTGGGGTGGTGGGGCGGGGCGCCATACGAACGCTTTCTAGAGGCAGATTAGCCGGCGCCCTTTTCTTTTACCCCACAATGGAGATGCAACGGCCTGGAGTCATGGGATTTCTTTTTGGGGGGGTTAATCATGACGAGGTGGAGTGGTGATTGGGTGGTAAGATGGGGGTATGGGAAATGCAGTGGTTTCTGAAATAGGTCAATGTCCAGGGCGGGCAGGGGTATATATATATGTGTGTGTGTGTGTGTGTGTACAGATGTGTTTAGACTTGGAAAGCTACAATGACTCATAGATACTACCTATTCCAATCAGACTCTATTTGTCAATGTCAGGGCATGCAGCACCTACAGTATTCACCTCATTCATATGATGTAACACTCAAGTTGGATAAACACCAGGTCACGGTAAGGTAACATAGGTGTGACCAATGAGAGCAGAGGTTCTGAGGGCCAGTCATATCGCATCTCTTCTTGTACGGAATCTCCTCTGGGGGCCCTCTATGTACAGAGGCAAGACACTAGATTATCCTGTAGTGAACAACTCCCATAGCTAAATAGGCCATTCCATGTATGTTTAAACCTATCTTTTCTTCCCTCTTAAGCAATTCCTACTTCGATATCGCCATAACTACTACTAGCGGAGCATAGGCTCATTATACAGAGGGAGGCAAGTATACAGTCTGCTTACGTTAGACGCATGCGGAGGCTGAATCGCCTCCGCTCTAACACTCGGAAGCATATGACCAGTGTCAGAACTCGGAGCCCGTTTCATTCTAGAAGAAGTGGGGAAGTTCCTCAGTCTGCTCTGCTGCAGATAGCGGTGGACAGCCCCCGCATATCCCATGCAGCTTTGCTAGTGGCTACTCTAGGGTGTAAAGCTTGATTGAACGTTATCACTGCGCTACAATCTTTAGGTGTGGCTCGGGTGGACATCGTTGTAGACTTCAGTCTTTGAGAATCCTATTTCCCCACAACTTCACGCGACTTTGGATAAAAATATACAATGATTCAGGGAGACACATATTAAGTGTATCCCAGAGCAACTTAACTAAGCTAGGGATTCAGGCCACACACACTCGATCCGTGGTTCAAGTAGTCTTGTTACAGCTCTGGACAACAGCCGTATCTTTGGATGTTCTCATCGCCTGCACGCAAGAGACTGAGAGTAGCGACATCAATCCCTGGATAATCTTTGTAGACAGTAGCCACAGGTCGGAGTGTGTCCTAATTTTGATTGTCTTATTCTAGTATGATGTACAGAATACCCCGCTTCATTTCTTCATAACCCTGACTACACCGACTATACTGCCATGTGTGAATTGACTTCATACTATGTGTATCAATAAACGATCTTTGAGGAATCAATTTATAGTGCCGTGAGGGGGCGGTTGCCCTTCAGCAGGTTTGTATTAGAGACTGAGCAGTGTTTGCTGAGCGTGACTCTGGGACATAACGTGCAGCCTTGCTAGATTTGGGGGCGCCGTTTCTTCTTCTCTGTGAACATACTTGCATTGCTCTCTTTACTGCTACCGTTCTCAACGGATCGTCAAATTTCCGGAGTTCCGTCCTTGCTTTGTAATGTCTTGTCAGTTTGTTAGTACTCTTTAATATCTCCGGAACAATGCTTGGAAGCTGAGCCTCGCCGAATGGGCATTCGGAATGCTTCCGCTTCCACTAGCTTGGCAGGCGTCTAGCCCTTTGAGGAATAATCTCACTAACCTTTCTAGGAACTTGAACCGCTTGAGTTGCCCTATATAGCTGAAGGGGCAGATTGGTCCATAAACCCTGCGCTTCGCTATATACAGGTACCTAGTCGTAGGAGTGTCGGTGTAGCATGCCGAGGATGGCAATGAAACTATTTCTCTTCGATCGTGTCATTCCATCCTGAGCCAGTTTGGAGGAACCAGAACAACTTCTCTTGCGCATGTGATCACACCAGCATTGCACTTATTACCTGCATTTCTGTGTTCTACATGACTACTGGAAACTCCGACATCTCTGGTTACTCGGAAACTTAAAAGTCCGACTATATGACATCCCGTGCCTCGTGGGGCGGCAGGCTTATATCAAGATCTATACTTAGTGTGACCGCTGTGATCGAGCTAATACTAAGGCATTCCATGCAATGCATTGGACTGTCTGGAATTCGAGTAAGGGTAGATTGTTAGGAACAGTATCCTTGCCTGTAGGTTTGCATGGCGGGAAATCAAAATCCTAGTAATGGTGCAATCTAAATGGCGGAATTTGGCCTGCTTGTCGGGATTGGCGCTAAGCTTGAAAGTCTCGATACATGCTGGTGCACGTCTGCACGAACTTGGTCCAGCGACACAATACGGAGCAATCTAGTTTTCTTGTATAGCAAAGAGTTTGGCGCATCGCTTACTATAAGCTCACTCTATAACAGAGTGGTACAACAAATTACATGTTGTGCGATACAATTAGTATTGAGGTTATCACAATTCCGAATAGAACGGAGCGGAACCAACCACCTTCCGTAGAGCATAAAAGCGCAGCATACTGCTGAGTTCGGCGTAGTAGCTAATCCGCCTCCCAGCAAGGAGATAGGGAACAGACTCTAAAAAGGCTCTTCCGTAGGTACGGCCCGAATAGCGGCTTGAATAACTGCATGCATACCGGCCCGTCTCACAAAATTGTATGGATACTTGACCACGTCTAGAATTCCTGCGTAGTCAAGAATGAATAGGGTGTTTTTTATCATCCACTGAACAATGGACTTAACGGGTTTGTATGTAGATCATCTACGAACCCCACGTGGAGGGTCTTATTTTGTTTTGATTTGTAACTCGGCGTCACTCGACTCGGTGACAAGAAATACCAAGTAATTACTCTTTAGTGGTTATAAAGCCGCAGTTCGAGAGGTTGAATCTTTCTCATCGACGCAGTTCCTCCATTCTGTCCACCTTTCGCTTCCCTCACCAAGAATGCTCCATTCCTTTCTTGCAGCGGCCGCCCTACTGGCGAGCCGTACACTAGCGTACGACCAAACGCTAGGGTTCAATGGCGCCGCAATTGTCGAGACTCGATCAATTGACCAAATCTACAAGGCTGCTCTCGCTGAAGGTGGCGTCGTCACAATGTGGCTGGGTGGCGACGAGCGCACCGACGAGGATGCGCTGAAGAACGAATTCGAGAAGCGATTCCCTGGGATGAAACTCAACCTCACCACCGACCTATCAAAGTACCACAGCCCACGCTTCGACGAGCAGCTCGCCGCGGGTAAGGTGTACGTGGATAGCATTGCGTTCCAGACCGTGCATGATTTCCCGCGGTGGGATAATGAGGGTGCACTACTACACTATGCTCCTGTGGGACTTGACAAGGTGTATGTGCCGATGAAGGATGTCCGTGCCGCGTTCTACGGCATTCTGACAGTAGGATGGGCGGGCAAGTGGAACTCTGACAAGTTGCCTGGGATTCAGGCACCAGTGGAGTGGGAGGATTGGTTGAGGCCGGAGTTTAAGGACAAGCTTGTCTTGACTTACCCTAACGATGACGACGCGGTGTTGTACGCTTTTGATCTAATGTAAGTTTTCACTTCCACAAGCGCTCTAAAAGAAAAGACGAATAACGAGGGAACAGCATGCAACAGTACGGCAAATCGTGGTTCCAAAAACTCCTTAAGCAAAACCCTCGCTGGATCCGTGGCACACGCTCCCCCGACACCATCATGCAAGCCAAGAATTCAACGCGCGCTGCCTCATTCACATCGGACGGTCTCTTCCCAACCTCAAACATCAAGATCAGCCACCCAGTCAAAGGCTCCTTCGTGACCTGGTTCCAGCTTGCTGCCATCCCGAAAGACGCGCCGCACCCGGAGGGAGCAAAGCTGCTCCACAATTACATGCTCACCAAGGAATGGCAAGCAACCCGAGGCTCGTGGCCTGTGAGGAGCGACGTTGAGCCTCCACAGGGATACCCTTCCATCCTCGAGATGCCAGGAACAAACATCACGTATTTCCGCGAGTGGATGTCCGACCGATACAGAGTTGAGCGATTAAGGTTATGGTTTGAGGATCAACTTGGCACTGCCCAGGGCCTGAGCCCCATCTCTGATGATATTTAGAATTTAGGCGCAGACACATAAGCCCTAATCTTTAAATTATCATTTATACTTAGCATTTAGATTCTGTTATCAGACTCCTATAAAACGAAAGTCCTATATATAATAATTTCTAAATAATTTTTATAAAGATCTTCTAAATATAGTAGCAAATAGATAGAGATAAGTAACGTGTTTCACAAGTAATTTGGCCACCCCAGTGATTCGTCCACCTCCCCGCGATAACCCACCTCAATAATAATAATAACGCGTAATATCTTGATAATATAACGTATTAAGAACCTATACCTATTTAGATATATTTCTTACTACTATAGATCTTAACTCTAAATAAATTTAGAGTAATTAATACGCTTTAATTACTTAAAGGATTCTCTAACTAAGAATGTAAAGCTGTAAGGGGCTCAACCCCGTGGGGTAGTCTTAAGCTCGGAAGCACAAACGGACAGGCCTAGGTAACAAGAGATTGTATTCGATAGAGAGCTAAGCTTCTCGGCTACGTGGCTATCTATATACAATGCTGGTTGCTGGGGTAACAATCGGGCTGGGCAGGTAGTAAACGAGGTCGTAGACGAGTATGGGAGGCGAAGGGCGTTCAGCCCGTTACAAAAGCTAAGATTTTAGCTAACGCTTAAAATATAATTATAATTTATAAGCTAGGCTGTTAAAAAAATTAA